AGATGAGAGAGACACTATCCAAGTCAGAGAGGGAGAGGTACCCTGGCTTGCTCCGTCTTCTTGTCCTCCAATCTTCCCCCAAGTTCCTCCATTGTCCTGGACTTCCCCCAAGTGCCTCCACTGTCCCACTGGACTGGAAGTCTGTTGACAAGAGAGTCTGGGAAATGTAGTAAATTATGTAATGTATAATGTATGTATAATGTAAAATTAGCTCTATGTGAAATGGAGCAGAGCAGCAGAAGGTTGGAAAAGGAATCTGAGGACAGACAGCTGGCTTTTGTGGAGTATAGGCATGATCACGTTATACTCAATAGTCACCAGGTCAAATGCAGTTGAAGACATGTCCAATCTAGCCTTACTCTTGAGCCCTTAGGTCCTGCGACTTCACCAGCACATTGTGTGAAGTGGGTTCATCTCTAAGTTGGTAGGTCTCAGAGCACTGTCTGATCCATTGGGCAGCAATAGCCTCAGGGTCACTTGACATCTGAATCCTTCTAAACAAAGGAAGGTATTCCCATTTATTAAGCACAGAACATAGCTGAGGCTCTCCTACTGAGAAAGGTAGTAAGGGACCAGTTACACTTGATTCACAGCCCTGTGTCAACATGCATATTCATAAACTCTAATGAAGGGCACTTTTGGTGAAACATGATGTCAAAACCTGCCCATTCTTACGGGAATCAATCCAATTATAGCCTCCACTGCAAAGTCCCAGAGTAAGGAGGGATTTTTTTTTTTCTCGCTTTGGAAAAGTGCAGACATGAGCCAAGTCCTGGAGTTCCACATATACCCAGAGACATTGTCATCTCTTCTACAGCATGGTGAGGTTTCATTTGACACTAGACTCGTTAATTGGTATAGCTGAAATGACAATAAATTAGGCACTGTTGATGGGAGGAGGGCTGGAGGCTGCAGGTTATCAAAATCAGGGCTGGGCCTGAATCAACATGCCAAGGGATGCTGCCCTGAAGGGCAGGGGGGGGGGGTTTGTTCCCCAAGTTCTCTCTCAGATATTGGGTGTCACCATGCAGAACACAGAGACCAGGCCATAGAATCATTAAAGCCCAATACAGGGCCACACTGAACATATAGAGCAAGAGTCACAACTTTTTAGCTCTCATTACAGTCGTGTGACAGACAACAAACCAAGCCGAGACCAACTCAACAAAAAGAAACAATGTGCTTCCCTTGCACTCTGAGCTGTTTTTCTTAATGGTAGCGGTTAAGTTTATACCGATCCAGCCACGTTCTCTCCTACTGCCCAAGACAGTATAATTTTTTACAGTGAACTGTAAAAAATCTCAACGGGGGGTATTCTTCCCTTTCTAGGAAACACAGTGAGATACAAACTCCTTGGTGGCAGTGGCGGTATGGTTTCATGGGGAGAGTCCAACACCTTTGGTTGAAATGCCTCTCCTTGCCCTTAGCTGTGACTTCGGGCACGTTATATCAAGTCTCTGAGACGCTGCATTGCACTTATCAGAGAGTATTCATTTCACAAGACTGCAATGAAGACTGAAGAATATCCTGCAGCGAAGTGTTTAGCACACGTGCCTGGTACACACTAGGTGTGGGGTGTGCACATCACATCCGGGAAGTTCCAAATGCAAAGGGACAGAGAAACACAGTCGTTGGAAGAAACACTTCCCTTCCAATATTTGTTTTTGACTCCAGATTGTCTTCTCCCTTCTCTTTCTTTCTTTTGCTGGCCCTGCCCGTCAACCCAGGGATTCCCTGTAGGTTCCTGAGGCTCACCTGCTCAGATGTGCTGGGATGAAGTGGCCACCTTTCTCTTTGCCCTCCTCTGGTGGCGCAGAGACTCACCTTACTGGCCAGCATGTTATGCATACATAGCCCAGCTTGCATACACTTTCTCTCCTTTTCATGGTAAGTTCATGCCTAGGGGAGGGCAACCTCAATGCTCCATCACTGGCTGCATGGAATAGATTTTCTTTGGCCCCTGATCTGATCCCCTTTATTTAATAGACCCCCTTCGTGGCTTAAAACAATAACTTTTATTATGTTGCATAATTCTGGGGTCAGGAATTCAGGCAAGGCTTGGTAGGGTGTTTCTTCCCTTCCATGTGACCCTGATAGAAGCTGCTGGGTGGTATGAAGCTGGCAGAGGGACTAATCGTGAGGGTCCAAGACAGCTTCAGTCACGTGTCTGGTGCCTCAGCAGGAATGTCTAGAAGGCTGGCTCAGCTGGAACGTGGATCTCAGTGCTTACACGTGACATTCTCAGCATGGTGGCCTCAAATTTCTTATGCGGTGGCTCAGAGCTCCAAAAGCAAGAGTTCCAGAGAAAGAGGCAGAAGCCCCAAGGCCTTTTATGACTCAGGCTGGGAAGTTATGGAGTTATTTCCATCATCATCTATTTCTGGAAACAGTTAACCTGCCCAGCCTCAATGGGAGAGGCAATAGAACACACTTCTGGAGGGGAAGGGTTTCGAACAACTTGTGGCCATGTGTTAAAACTGCCACAGTCTTCACCTCCAGACAGTCCCCACTTGTATGGGGAAAACTGCTGTCATCATTGCTTTGCAAGAGGGCCTACTAAGTGTGCAATAGCTTCATATCTGTTTATTGCAGATAATGGGTGGCAGCAGACAGAATATCTATTTAAAGTTACATGGTAGAGAGAAAAAAGTGAGTGCTTGGGCTGACCACCATGAAGCAAATCATACTTCTATCCTATCCCAAATGCCTCTACAGAGTATAAGACACAAAAGTGTCAGGGAAGGCCTCTTGCAACGTTGCCTTAAATGCCCAAAGATAAGTTTTAGTGACTCCCACCATCCTGTACTTCTGTCTCATGGTTCTCTGTCTCATGGTAATGATGGGCTCAATGCCCGACTTTCCCCATAAAATGCCAGGCTCTTTGATGAAGATGAAGCTTGTCCCATTCAGCAGCGTACCCTTGGCATCAGACACCGTGTGTGAAAGACAGCAATAAATATGTCTCATTGGCTAATCATGTGGATGGTGATAGAAAAGATGAGAATCACTACTACATAACATGTTTATAATTTGCTGTGAGATGTTTAACTTTTTGTTTTAGTTAGGATGTTGGGCTGTAAGGCATCTAAGGTGTAACATTGGAAACTGGAACACTTCCCCTGTGGGTCCCACCAGATCGCTATGATTATTGAAAGACACAAGGTAACATCCACACACCTGACACTTACTAATAGCTTTGTTTATTATTTAGTTGATTATTCCATTTTTTATAACCGTACAATAATTCTCTTTTAAACAATACTGTTATACCTGAAGTTGGTCAAATGATATCCATTCTTCCTTCTAGGGTAGTCAAGTGGGTTTTTGCCACACTCAGTTTTTTAATAGAACATCTGAATATCAAGAAGTGTGCTTAACTAAAAATAATGAATGGACTGAACTCCATGGAAGATGATTGCATACTCAGTTCGAGGTCTAATGCTATTATGGTGGGTCATGTGTGTGTAAGAGGAAATGCTAGGGTCTCATGAGCCCAGAGCTGGGGGAGCATTGGTGGGTGTAAGTGACTCTCTAAGACTGTTTGGCAGCTTGGACATTTGAGGTTTAATACTGGTCCAGTACCACCACCCTTTTTAGTCAGGATAGTTTCCTCCAGACAGGCTTTGGGAAAGGTCATCAGGGCATGATCAACAGTGTCTTCCCAGGAGCCCAAATCCTGCAGTTAAATCCTCAGAGGAGCTTAGAATCCTGCCCCACTCATATTGGCCTTACTTGTAACTTGAAAGTAGTTGGGGCCCAGTCACAGAGGTTGCATGTCTAGTGTGTGTGTAATGTATGTGGATAGTGCATGTGTGTGTGTGATGTAGGTGTATACAATGTGTGTATAGTGTATGTGTATATAATGTGTGTATGTGTGTGTATAGTGCATATGTCCATATAGTGTATGTGTACAGAGTGTGTATGTATGGTCTATGTATACAGTGTGTGTATATATATGATGTGTGTATTATATATGGAGAATTTGTGTATTGTGTGTGTATAATACATGTGTGTGTGATGTATACATGTTGAGTATGTGTATAGTATATGTGTATATAATGTGTGTGTAATGTGTGTGTATAGTGTAGGTGTATATAATGTGTATATATAGTATATATGTATAGTGTGTATATATATGATGTGTGTGTTAGGTATATGTATGTGTACTGGATGTGTAATGCACGTATGTGTGATGTATATGTGTTGAGTGTATGTATGTATATCTAATGTGTGTATAATGTGTGTGTACATATAGTTTTTGCATATAGTGTATGTGTATAGTGTGTTATGTGTGTATAATGCATGTGTGTGTGCTATATGTAGGTCTAGTGTGTATGTATAATGTATGTGTGTACAGTGTGTATGCATAATGTATGTGATAATGTGTGTGTTGTGTTATCATGCATGTGTGTGTGATGTATGGATGTATGGTATGTGCGTGGTGTGTGCATGTGGAAGTGTGCGTGCAAGCACATGTACCGCGAGGAGGGCCCAAAGAGACACTGAAGAAGGAAGAGAATCATGGAGAAGGAAGGGATGAAGGGAGAAGGGTGGACCCAAGAGGAAGAAGATAAATCGGATGAAAAGCTAGAGGGACCTGGGGGAGGAGGGAGGGAGATTGGGAGAGCCTCCTTTATTTTAATAAACAAGAGGGCTCCGAGAAGGGTGACCCTGACACCTCTCTCTGTCCTCCCTCCTCAGCCCATTGGCCCACAGGGGCAGGAAGCCAGATCAGCCTTGGCGGCCCCCACCATGCTGCACAGACCCCGTGTTCTGGGCAGACTTGAATAGAGGGGGTAAGACAGCCTGTCCCCTCAGTCTCCCCCGCCGGTGGGGGGCCAGCTGCCTATGGCACTATCCTCCCTGGTGGCGGTCAGTGATGTCGCTTTAGGCATCGCACCTGATGCCTGTACTGCCCACGGGTGGGACGGCTGAATTTTCTGCTGGCCTTGGCTCTGGAAGTAGAGGAATTTCTGAGGCAGGTACCTTCTAGAATTCGAGACAAATCTTTCAGTCCATTTATGGGAAGACACTGGGCAGGGCGTGAGGCCACCAGAGGCTGCAGCCTCACCCCAGGCCCCGCCACCAGGCCCCAGGGGAAAGCTCATGCCACAGACCTTGTGATCCCTAAGGGTGCTCCAGCGGCCGAGTTCAGGTGCACCGTGGGCACATCTGTCCCACGCAGGCATGGAAGGGTGAAAGTGCTTTGTGCAGGTCCCTGTGGAGCTTGGAGAGGGGACAGCTGCATGCCACAGGCAGACTGGCCCTGGGCTAAAGGCATCCAAGGACGCCAGGGTCCACCAGCCTGAATTCCTATCGGGTTTGGGCAGTGGGAAAGGAGGCATTCAGGGCAAGCCGCCTAACCTCTCTGTGCCTGGGGTTCCTCATCACTGAAATGGGGCGAGAAGAGCACCTCCTTGGTGGTGGGGGCGGGAAGTTGTCCTGAAGATTCGATGATGTGTTAAGTGCTCAGAACAGCCTCTGGCCCACGGGAAGCACTCCATGAATGGGAACTGTCATTACTATTTAGAAAAAAGTCAGTAGAGTTCAATATAGGTCCTACATCTCTTTCCTGACCTTTCTCTTGTGTTTCCAAATGAGGAGCCTTGGTCAAAGGCAGGGTGACTGGAAGTGTGTGTTGAGGCCTCTGAGGTGTGTGGGGACAGCTAAGGCCATTGCTAGGCCACATGGCCCTCAAAGCTCTTGCTGAGAGGCTGGGCTTCCTGTTAGCTGGGCCACTACTTATATCTGTGGCAATAACACTAGGGTCAGGGGGCAGAGCCAAGGGCCCGGCCCCTACTTGCCTACACAGAACCTCGGCTACTCCTGGCAGCTAGATGGGAGGTGAAAACCGTGGTACTGTCCTGTGCATGGCCATCCAGAGAAAGGATCTCTAAAGCTAGCAACATAATTAAGCAAATTTAGCAAGGGAGAAATGGACATTAGTTTTTTGAGGGGATTAGTAAGAGCTTTAGTTTGCGGAAACACTGACATGGAGGTATCAGGCCTTCGTGGACCAGAGCAGGTGTTGGCCATGCCTTCTCTGTCCAGGGTTAAGTGACTCGGACACTAAAGGGAATCCAGGTGTGTGACGTACATTGGTAGTCTGGATAAGTTTGTCCTGAAGACACAGCAGGTTTTTTTTTAGAATAATCAACTCTACTTCTGTTCTAGAATATGACTGCTAATAAGTCTCCCAGGTAGACTGTTTTGACAGGTAGCATTTTGTAGCCTCTTAAAGATCATATTGTTTGGAGAAGAGGCAAAGATCCACGAGAGGGAGATTTCCTTCCAATCCTGTCTTAAAACGGGTGAGGACCTAAAAAATCCCAAAGGCTTGCGGGGTCCCGTGTTGGAGACTCAGCTCACCAGGGAGGTGTGAAACAAGCAACGGGAAGGTGTAGGGGAAAACCATGAGCCCCGCACAGAGGCTGCCCTCCCAATTTTCCTGTTGTGTTTGTGAGCAGAGCTTAGGCTCCCAGAGTGAGATGCTTCCTGAGGAAAGTGTGGGGCTGGGGCCTAAGGGCAGTCTAGCAACTCTCTGACCTCCTCTCTGTCCCCAGCTAACGGACTCAGGGACTCAGCAAGCACAGGGTGCCTCGACCTGATAGACCTTTCATGGGAAGCACAGCAGAACTCTTGAGCATTTTGATGAACCTCTTGGAAAACAAAAAGTAAATGAAACAAATCAACTGTGAAACAAGCCCCAAAGTAACCCCCTGCGGAGAAATGGCACTGCTCGAAGCTGCCGACTGGCGGCTCTACCGACCATGCAGATGGAGAAGGTCATAACCAAAGAAGTTCTACCGGGAGCAAGGATCAGTTTCTCCCTGGTTTAGATATTGCCTCTCCCTGGTTTAGAGGTTTTAATGTTCCATTAAAAAATATTAAAAATCCACAAACCAACCCAGATGTTCCTCTCCTCTCTCCTGCTTCCTTTTGGCAGCCACACCGTCTGGCATCATGGTGCTAGATGTCTTTGCTGTCCCCATAGTCGTTGTAAGGGACGCTCAGGGTCTGTTCCTCACACGTCTTCCTGAGGTCCCGGTTGAGCTCTGACCAGTCAAGTCCGTAGGGCTTGATCTCGCTGTAGCGGCAGGCCAGGTACTTAAGGGAGCCGCGTCGCAAGCTTATCTTGGGTTCTTGAAGGAGGCCATTGCACCAACTGCTGAGGTCCCCCAGCTGAGAAAGGATGAGGCCAGCTTTCCTATGGATCAAGCATGGAAGATACTTATATTAGAAATAAGAGAAGGCAGGGAAGGGCAAACAGCCACTTAAATTAGTGTGAGACTTTATTATATCTTTTAAAGACTTATTTATTTTTGAAAAAGTGTGAGTGGGGAATGGACAGAGAAAGAGGGGGACAGAGGATCTGAAGCGGGCTCCATGCAGACAGCAGTGAGCCCAATGCGGGGCTTGAACTCAGGAACCGAGAGATCTTGACCTGAGCTGAAGTCGGACTCTCAATCGACTGAGCCACCCAGTGAGACTTTTAAACTCTGAGACAGCAGAGCCTAGTGTGTTCTGCTTACTGTTCTATTATGAGCACTTAGAACAGGGGTCTTTGATAAATACCTGTCAAGCAACGGGACAGATGGACAGATGGGTGGATGGATGGATGGATCAAAGAACAGTCTGGCTGTGCAAAGTGGGACAGGCACCAAAATAAAGAGAGAAACAAAATGCCGTAAGGAAAAATAAAGAAGGGAAAGTAACTGATATTTTAGTGGGGATTTATGCCCTTTTAAAATCAAAGAGTTGGCAGTTTTGAAAGACAAATCAAATCAATTTTCTTTACAGCCAGCAATTTACCATCATTAAATGACAAATAATGCATTTGAGTGAATATTTCCCTTTTCCAGGCTATTTCAGAGCTAAGCAGAAACAGCTGATATATTGAACTTCGGAGGCTATCAAATGTAGCAAATTATGCCTGTATGGAGGTAGTGACAGTGAACTAAGGGTGAAGACAGCAATGCTCTCAGGGCACACTGACGCAGGGCCATTCTTGGGGGAAATGCAGACTCACAGTGGCACACGTGACCTAATTAGCCTTCAGGTGAGCTCGCGCTCCATTCCGCCTTCTCCCTTGGAAGGCCAGGATGCCAAGGTCATTGTGCCCCAATCAAGAGAGGGAGGAACAGGAGGGGATGAGGGGGCACCTGAGCTGATGCAGATCCCTGGGAGAGAGAGAAAGGAGCAGAGGAGAGTGAGGCTGCCCCAAGTTCACACACACTGGAGCGCAGTCATCCCTCTGGGCCAAGACTAGAGTCTGGGGGGCCTCTGCATGCAGCCTCAGGAAGCAGGCTGTCCCATAATCCCTCTCACTGGAGCACAGCCTTCTTGCCAGGGACTGCTTACAGTGTCAGAGAGAGGGGCTGCCTGACAGCCAGCTGTCAGACTCACTGCCTCTCTGGACCCTTAGCAGTGACAGAGCAATGCTTCCCTCACTCAGCTGTGTTTCTCTCGTTCTTCAAAGACCTAAGTGCTCAGAGACCCACGAAGTTTCTCACTTGAAAGAGCTCGTGGGAGGCTGTAAAATGTTCTTAAAAGCTCAGTGAACAGCACCCCCTTGCAGTATTTATCAGCTGCTAGGCTAACTTCCCATGTGAAGAAGCAACTCTTTTCTAATTCAATCAAAAATTCTTTCCAGAAGATGGACATTTCTGCACTCCGTTCAGAATGACCTTTCAAAGAACAATAACCCCATTCGTTTCATTTCTCCCCTCCTGTCTGGCCGTGACCACAACAAGGGGTGATCTCACTGCGTTCCGGGGAGGCCATGCTGAGCAGCACAGAGATGATGCTGGAGGAGAGGTGTGAGGATTCAACAGCACAGTCAAGAGGCTGAGGGAGGGTGAGGTCATCAGAGGGCAGTGGCATTTTCTCCGACTTCAGTGGTGGGTCGGAGGAAGTCAAACACCCCGCCTGCTGCAGAAATAGGATCTTACGCAGACAGTCTCGCCTCTGCTTCTCAGCCTCTGCAGTTGGGCCAAACAAGCTTCCAAAAGTCGTCATCAACAGGGACTTTGGGGGCCCTGCATCTTAATCTACCCTACTACATGTCATTAGTTGTTGACAAATTCTTGGAAGGTGAAGGGAGGGATGAATGGGTTAGCATCCACTTAGGACATGGACACAGGAAAAGAAAGGATTCGCTTAGCCTGTGGAGATTTTGTGGCTACTTTCATAGCTCAATTTAAAAAAAAAAAAGTAATTAATTTCAGTCTGCCCTTGATCATCTCAGAGCCTGTAGATTTCTTCTTTCTCAGCCCAATGCAACCAATGTTGTTCTCAAAGCATTTCAACCCTCAAGTCCATCTGGAGGCCTCTGTGAAGGTTAAGGGAATAGACTTAACTGCTCACAGGAAGTGTGCGGCCCTTTTCTAGTCATTCTTGCGATGAGCTCCAAAATGGGTCATTGCCTCTCAAGGCACAAGGCTTCTCCCTGAGACCCATGACATTGGAAAGTAAAACTTGATTTCCACAAGCTAATGAAATTGCACAATGCTTTCTAATATATAGCCTTGAGAAGCCAGCATCACACACGAAAGGGTCTCCAGGGAGAAGAGTTTGGGAAGAGAATGTCAGGTCAGCAGCACACCCCACTTTACAGGGGGATCTGCACTTCTTCCTCTGCTCCCTTTCTTTACTAACTAATTTTCCTTCTGACTCTTGAGTTACAAGAGAGAAATTTTAAAAGCAATCCTAATGCCCTTGGAAATCAAGATAATATATGCAATGTTAGTGCTATTCAAATTGTGACATTTATGTTCCCTAACCAAGAACTGTATATATACACTCAATAAATGTCAAGAGGGAGGAAAGGGAGGAGGAAGAGGGGGAGCAGAGAGAAGGAAGGGAGCAGAGCAAGAGGGGGCAGGGAGCTGGGGAGAGAGGCAGAGAGAGGGTATAATATTAGGTATAAGTAATAATAAGGGTAAGAGTAATAAGGTATAGACCAGAGAGAACATACCTTAATATGTATCTTCTCTCTAACCCAGGGTTTGCTTTTTACCAAAACAGAGACAAAACAAATGAAAAGTCCCTTGTATATTTCCCTCTGTGACAGAGCTGTGACATCTATTTGCCCAAGGACCACCAATCTTTATAAACTGCAGGAAATAATGTATGGAATGCTGACAAGATTCTTCCTAAACTTACACTTGAAATCATTGTATTTCAGAAGATAACTTCCTCCTTCTTTCAAAAGTAAGAATATAGGAGGGAATGGCCTGAGTGTGTAATTTCAGGTCACAAGGAGCTTCCTCTGGTTTGGTCAGAGGTCAGGTGGATGGGACAACTTTTGGGTGATGCTTTCTTGCAGCCTGTTGGCAGGAGTACAAGAATTCTTCAAGTCTAGAGGATTCCATCTTGTTGATTGTCTTCATTTTCTTTCCTTTAAAAAAAAAATAGTCCTTGCCCCCCTTTTTTTCTTTATGAATTCCTAACTAATTCAAGGACATATAGGTACCAAACATTCCGTGTGAAAAACCTCTTACACTGAGTCTATTGGAAAATTCCAGTGCTTCCACTGAAATGTTTTTCTCAGAGTGGGAGTATATAGCCATGATGTAGAAACAAAAAGAAGTTAGGATCTGTACACATTCTTCTCATTTCTCTCTTTCTAAGAATGTCATCTGCACTGTATAACATACAAGCAGTAGGTGCTGAGTATTGAAAAGTTGTAGCCTCAGGGCCAGTGGATTCTGGTAAAGACTATACTGTCCTAACTTTGGCCAAGAAAGATGTCAAGGAGGGTATTGGCTGCCACCACCACACTGTCTTTCAAAAGAATGTGCAGTTGAGTTGAAAATATGTCTGTATAATGCATATTGCATATACAAAGTTCATATGCAATAAATATGTCCTGCTAACCCCTTCAATAAAATTCCTAATTTTCTCTCACAGGATTAGGTTTCCAGCTCCTACTGTTTTTTAGCATTTGGAATGCAATGTCAGCGTGATAAAGAGGTGGGTAAAACAGGTCAAAGGCAAAGACTTTTTCAGAGTTCAGGAAATATATTCATGACTTGGCTACTTAAATACAGCTTATCCAAAACCAATCTATATGAACTGGGCTGTATAAAAGCATAGGGCTTCCTTCTCCAAGCACCTAAGCTCACCCAGGAAATCTCTGTGAATTCATGGATTCAGTACTATGGTGCAGGAGATAACAAATTTCAAAGAGCTGAGGTCTTTATGAGAGGCGATGAAGTTTACTACTTACCTGGGGCCCAATTCATCCTCACACCGCCAGGTGAATTCTCCAAAACTCTCATAGTGCTGGTTGTAGTGGTAGAGGACGCGGTGTAGGGTAGGAGAACCCAGATCCAGGAGGGTGTTATAGGCCGTTTGCTGCTCCTTCCCACTGGTATAGCCATTGAAGAGATTGTAGATCTTGTCTGCTATTTCTGAGGACAGCAAAGGTAAAGAAATAAGATTTTTAAATTTGTACACACACACACAACATATGTGTGTGCACATGTATGTAGATGTGCATATATACATATCCACCTCTGTGTGTGTGTGTGTGTGTGTGTGTGTGATGTTGCTTAACGAATACTGAGCCTGGAACCTGGAGACAGGGATTTGAAGAGTTCGCTTTACCTCTGCCCCATCGGTTGTAGCTCTCTTTTCTATAAAACGAAAACCTTCCAATGGAATATCGCTGAAGTCAATTTCTGTTAACATATTCTTTGTCTTTGCCCATGTTTCCTGAAAATACAGTGCCTGCTTGAGGCAAAAGACCTCAGATTAATACTATATTGGCAAGTGCAATCCCAGGAAAGCTGGGAGGAGGGAAGAAGAAAATGAGGTGAGAAAGGAGGCTGAGTGGCTCTAAGGGGGTGTGCTAAGGGAGCAGGCAGTATGTTTTGCAGGAGAGGATGCGTGAAGCTACTAGGTCCCCGCCGGTCCATCCGAGGAGGAGAAAGGAAGACTTTCTCCCCAGCTCCCATCCACGAATGGTCCGTGGGGACTCTTCACATTTGCCTTCATGAGGCACTAGCTCGCTCACACTTCTAGTCTGCATATGCTTGGGTACCAAGCGGGTCCTGCAAAAGCTACAGGGAATCCCTGGGCGGCAAGGGGCAGACATTTGGCTGGGGATGAAGTGAGGTAGTCAGGAGATGCCAGAGCAATGGGAAGAACGTGGAGCAGTGAGTAGTAGCAGTTTCTAAAGCAACAGAGCCCCACGGTTAGGACGGCAGGAATGCTGAGCCTTTACTAGGGCCGCCTGCCCAGACCCTATACGAAAACACACTTGCAGATCTGTGGGGACACAGAAATGGAATCCAGTACATCCTGCAGCTCCAAATGAGTAATCCCTCAGCTTAATTTAGAACTCTTATATTCTCCTCCAAGGCATACGTCGCTAAGACTGAACTTGGTGATGTGGCAAAGTGGCAATGAATTTGTATAGCCTTGGCATTTCTCCCATGGAGCCCCAGGCACTTTATCATTAAATGTTTTCATATTAAACCTGTCAGAAAGGAGATTAGTTCACATTTCCTTCCTAAACAGCTGGGAACTGAGATCTGGAGAGCAGAACTGTGTCTCAGATCCAATGTTCAATCTGTGGATGAAGAAACTAAGTCTACAGGTTTCTAAGCCAGAACTTTGCCCACTTGACCTCCTGTTGGCCAAAAGGCATGGCAAGCAGATTCCCTGTCAGAATTCCAAGTGAATTCAGGGATGCTGGTAATGACAAAGCCACTGTTGTAGGAGTTTTCTGGGTTGCAAGGAAGAAAACTTCCACCCCTACTCTGTACAGACATTGCAATGATTTTCTAACTTTTCTATTTTGCCCATCACCTATAAGGACAGATCTTCTTCCATGTCCTGAGCAACTAGCACGGGGCCAAACAACATAGTAGTTAAAAAACATCTTAGCTAGAAGAATAGAATTCATGATCAGTGATATCTCTCCGTCCCTTTAGCAATCAACCACTGATGGCCAGCACCTTAACTGCATTAAAAATAACTTCAGTCCAGAAATCCATTTAGACAGTCAGGGTTTTTAAATTCTCAGGTTGTTAAAATAGGATCAAGAGATAAAGGGGACAGTTGAATAGAAAGAATTGTGGTACCCCCGTTACTTGTTAATGGCCTCTTGATTGTCAAGAGGTTTGCGTATATAAACTCCAATCCTCACACCACCACTGCAAGATGGATATGAATGTCCCTATCCTACATACGAGGACATTCAGAGAGAGAGACCAGGTCATCCACCCAAGGTCACAGAGCCAGTGTGTTCTGGAGTCAGGATTTAAAACCCTGTCTATCTTCTGCTGCTCTTTTGCACTAGTGCTCAGGAGATAAGAATGCTTCACCAATTTAAGATACAGGAGGCAGAGTCGTGGGGGATGCAAATCAGGGGTGACTGTTTCTAGTAGGGGTCTTGTCCTGGCTGGCCCATAGGTGCCGAGTGAGAGGGAGTCCCCAGGACGTATGCAGGGAGCCCATTGTTTCTGGAGCTGAGACAGACAGAAGCGGAGAGACTAGTCTAAGAGCTGTGTTGTTTGCAATGAGAGGAGGGGAGTGTGTACTGAGAGAAGAAAGGCCAGGGGAAGAAGAATGTGGGCGATCACACCAGAGCCCAGATAGAGAGGGCTGGGGTCCTTTTTGTTGATGCTTCTCTGTTCTTATTTCTGGTGATGGGAAATAGAAAGAGCATCTGAGGCCCCAGGCCCTGGTTATGACTGTCTCCGCAGAGGAAGAGAGATGGCTGAGAAGGTGTTTGCGGGTGTATTTACTATTCTCATAACACAACAGTAATAACTAACTAGAGAAGGCTGATGCTTTCCACTAGCAGCAGCACATATGCCTGAGGCCAGGTGGGACAGGCCCGGGTGCCACCATAAATCTCCTAAAACCAAGATAATCTAACTCCAGGGTGTGCTTGCAAGCCTGCATCAGTAAGTGCGAGGCTATATTCAGAAGGATCTCTATGCTGGGTTCCTAGCGCGTATTTCTGGTTCCTCCTAATTCCACAGAGAAAATTTAGAGATATTATTTCATTAACTTTCATAGCATCTCAAGAAGTTACTAACTCAAAGAATGGAAAAGAATACAAGGTATTTTTAGTTATCATTTTATCCAGCTTTCAGCTTCACAGCAGTCATGGGTTGTCCAAAATAAGGATCTGTCTTTCCTCTCTTTAAAATGCACAGGGGAAAGGGGAAAATGGGTGATGGGTTTGGAGGAGGGCATTTTCTGGGATGAGCACTGGGTGTTATATGGAAACCAACTAGACAATAAACTATATTAAAAAAACAAAAAGCAAAACAAAAAAAATTAAAATTCACAGTGTTCAGGAATAGTTAAGCTGCAGGTGGGGAGATGGGTGGGAGTCTACAGACATAACCTCATCACAAAAAATGAAGCTGAGTTATTAGTAATTAAAAGGGAGATAGTACCTCTGAGGCAGCAAAGTAAACCAACAGGGCTGCGACTTAAGCCCTCAGACCCAGAGGATGGGTAAGACCTGGAACTATGGTATACAGCATCATACGAAGGTGGGCTCCATTACACTAGCTGTGTGGCTTTGGACAAATTACTTAACCTATCTGGGTCTTAGTTTTCCTTTTCTGTTCAATGATGGTGAATAATATACACCTTCCAAGATTATTGGGAGACAAAGTGCTATTAAATGTAAAGTGTTTCTTCAGCACAATGTCTGGACACGGTAGGCAGACATGTATTCATCCATTCAAAAAACTTACCATGGACTTGATATTTTTTCAGGCACTCAGGCTACATCAGGGAGAAACTAACGGAGGTCCTCACCCTCGAAACACTTGAGGTCTAATGGTAGGAGGCATTTGGATAAGAAACGGACATAACAAGTACAATAGAGTCTGTAAGGAAGTGGGAGAAAAGTCGAGCAGAAGAAAAGAATGGGGGAGAGTTGAGTGGAGCCCTGAGATTTTTAAACATAGTGGCCGTGAGAGGTCTCATTGAAAAGATGTCCCAGGAGTCAGGACCTGGAGGCCTTGGGAGGGGATGAGCTGCAGGGATATGTGGGGAAGAGCATGCCAGGGAGAGGCAAGGTAAGCATCGAGCTTGTCGGCTACAGGTGGGCAGCATGGGTAAAGGCAGCAAATAAGCTACCGTGTTTGGAGTAAGAGGGGTGAGAGTCAAATGACAGTGGATGTTATTTTATTAATATCATTTATTATGATGATTATTACTGGTTCTCCACTAAATCAAGCTTTCTCCAATGCTGTGACAGAGATACTAAAACACAGGAGTCCAAGAGACTGTGGGAAATAGTCTTATTTGAATAAGAGGGGGGATTCCTGGGACAGAAGTGAACTTTCTTATACCCCAGAAGTGGTTGCTCTTTTTTTTAACGTTTGGTCTTTTTTTTTTTTTTTGGAAAGAGAGAGAGACAGCATGAACACATGTACACAAGGGCATGAGAGTGGGGGAGGGCCAGAGGGGGACAGAGGATCAGAAGCGGGCTCTGTGCTGACAGCAGAGAACCTGATGTGGGACTTGAACTCACGAACCGCAAGATCATGACCTGAGCCAGTCAGACGCTTAATTCACTGAACCACCTGCTCTGTTTACTATGAAATAAGTAAGAATCCTGGAAGCATCCATACCTCCTAATGGCTTCCTTGCTACTATAAGGAAAGTTCCTTGAATGGAGGTCCTAAGTCACCACTGTCATTCGCCCCTGGGTCTGTCTGTCCCCACCATGAAGTAATTGGTCACAGAATTCTATATGAAAGCCTGAGGGTAATGAATCCCACCTGGATTCTATCTTTGTCCTTCTTGGCACTGTCTGCACCTCTGACCCCCCACCCCCAGCCTCCGTCACCCTTCCCTTACAGCCTCTCACCTCCCGCCCCCGTCCCCCGCTGCTCTGTGTTGTCTTCACACCTGTGATTCTCAGCCTTGGGATTCATACTTGATTCTCCACCTGGAAGGCAGGTGAAAAACAGATTACTGGTTCCCTCCAGAGTTCCCAATTCAGTAGGTCTCAGATGGAATGTGAGAATTTGTCTTTCTAGCAAGTTCCAAGGTGATACTGCTGCTGTTGTTCTGCTCACACTTTGAGAATCACTACTCTAGACAAATTAGTTCTCTCAAGGGTTTCCTTGCTCCCTCTGGGACTGGCAATACGGCAGACAGCTGTCCCTTTCTCCTTGACCTTGGCAAACACTCTTCCGTTTCTCCATGTCCCTGTGCTGGTAGAAACCTGCCTGGAGCATTCTCCCATACAGAGGGATCCACCCATACCCTGGAGAAGAGCAGCCTCTCAGCCTCTCATCAGTTCCTGCAAACAATTTGCTGCTCTCTCTATATACACATAAAAGTCCCTCCACCTTAAAAACTCACCTGCCTCTTCCTATTTCCCTTGCTGACTTCATGACCATTCTTCTACATCCATGGAAGAATCTGGCATCTAATTCATCCTTTCCACCTCATTTCTTATCACCATTTAGGGTAACTTCACTGTCCACAAGAAAGCCCTCTGTAAGACTAGATCCCCCAGCCATCAAGAGTCAATTATCGGGGCGCCTGGGTGGCTTAGTCGGTTAAGCGTCCGACTTTCGCTTAGGTCATGATCTCGCGGTTCGTGGGTTCGGGCCCCGCGTCGGGCTCTGTGCTGACTGCCAGCTCAGAGCCTGGAGCCTGTTTCAGTCTGTGACTCCCTCTCTCTCTGACTCTCTCCTGCTCATGCTGTCTCTCTCACTCTCTCCTAGAAATAAATAAAAAACATTTAAAAAAAAGAGTCAATTATCATGGCTGAGACCTTCTCCAGCTTTGACCCAGTAAATCCCAGTATCACATGCTGTGAACACAACCCTTTTCAAACAGGCTGTACTTCTTCCTGCCATCAAATCTGCCCTTCAGTGATGGAAACCCCAGGTCATTCGACTCCACCACCCACTTTAGGCATCAACTCTGTCTATGTCCTTCTCTACCTGTACAAACCACATGCCCAGTGCCTGTGCTCTCAGCCAGCTTGCTCCATCTTTGGCCTCTTCTCTGTCTTCACACAGGCTCTAGAGGTCTGCTGGGGGACAGTCACAAGCCACTGAGTTAGGTGGTTCTACTCGTGCTCTCTTGGCATTCTGGACACACCCTTACCCATCCCTTCTCACAACATATGATGTCTTGCGTGACCTCTCTCCTGCTCCACATCCAAGCCATCAGCAAATCCTCTTGGTCCTCCCATCAAAATACTTTAGGACCAGACCACTTGGTACCACGTCCCTCGCAAGCATTCTCTCTCCTCCATCACTGCCACAGCCTTGGCACTTCTATCTCGTACCTACTACTTGGAGACCACTCTCAGCACAGCTGATGAATGCTCCTGGAAAATGTTAAGTTCAATGATGCCCCTTTTCTGCTTGAAGGGCTCCAGGGCTTCCTTTCTTAATCCCAGGTTGAAATCTTAGCCCTGAGATGGGGACCCATGGGGTCCACCCCACCACCCCTCTGAACTCCTCTTCGCTTTCTATCCTCCCAATTCCTCTCCACCGCGGGGGGCCTCTTTCTTCATCTTCAAACACACCAAGCATCTCTGTCCTCCATCTGCAATGACCTTCCCCCTGATATCTGTGTGTATTTTCTTCACCCTCTTCCCAAACCATGTCAGTTAAAATTCTGCCCTCTGCCCTTCCTCTCCCATTTCCCTGCGAATCAGGCCCTGTAATACCCATCACCAGCTGAAATATTTGTTTCACTATCATTTTTGTTTGTCATCCTTGCTGAAACGGAAGTTCCAGGAGGCGGAGATTATGCCCCCTAGTGCCCAAACCAGGTATTTAGTCAGGGCTTACTAGATGTTGTCTGATTGGATACCTGTATGAAAGCTGACTGTTAAAATTCTTGAAAATAAATTGAGCCAATTTAGTATTTAATCCCAGGGCTCAACAAAAAGCAAATGAGGGAGTGGACAGGAATTTATGTTTGGCATCAGGAAAGAAAGATGGATGTTGTGGGCTGTGATGGATGAGAAGCTTCACAAAGAACTCCTGGAGGCCAGGCTGGTCTTATCACGGACACTAACTTGTTCCTCACGGAAAGGGAGCTTTCAGTAGAACATGGGCAGAAACTCACTTGCTCAGTGGCTCTAGTGTCATGATGTGATCAAATTCTTCATGGGAAAAGTGTTCATATAAGGACCAGAGTCTAGATTCCTGCTAGGTAATTAGTAGCTGAGGTCATGCTGTGGGTCACTTAAAAGGTAATTCCCATTTGTTATTAGATTTAAACCCAGACCCAGGAGACTTATATTTATGATGACCATCTGGGTTTGAAGGAGGCAAAGCATATGGTTTTTCGGTACAGCTGCTAGAATTGTATTAATTTGTGAGGGTCCCCTCAATGAGTCCAGCCCATTAATCTTCACGTTTGATGCCTATAGGACCCCCTCCTGGCTGGAGAGTAAAAGCACTTGGGGATGCTGTGTCATTCTCTCAGCATAAAGTTGACTTTTCCTGCTCCCGGTTGGTCTGCTGGGTTTTCAGACACTCTCTTTTGTCAGGGAGCCCAAGGGGACAGACGCACGTCTTGATTCACTTTGGAGGCTGGAATTAACCCCAAAGGAGCCCCGCAGACAAACAGAACTGTGGTCTCTCCCAGACCAGAATGGTTGGCCATTCTGTAGTCCAAGGTCGCTGTCTGCCCATCTGTCCCTGCAGGTAGCACGGTGCTACAAATCTCCCACCTGCTAATCCCACCCCTGATACCCCACCAGCCCCTTGCCTATGCTGCAAGCAAGTCCAAGGTGCCTACTGCTGCCAGCAAAGACATCAGCAAATTTTCCAGAACAGAAATAGCTGGGGCACCTTCCTGTCACCTGTTCCTCTCTGGCTTGGAGTAAGAAATCAACAGATGATGACACAAGGAGCCGCGAATTCTGTCCAGATAGCCTCTAGCTGCAACCCCAGACTCTGCTTTCATCATTGTGGCATTTCAAGACTTCAAAAGTCATTTGGTCCGTACACTATCAGCCAGGCAGCACTCACTCGGGAGAGGAGCACATCTGTCTTACACTTAAAGTTCTCCCTTCCACCGTAACGTCCCAGTGGATTCTAATAGTTCTAAAAAGGTTTTTTTTTTTCCACCACCTGACTTGAACACTCTTTTTGTTTAAAATGTAGGTCTTTTATTCATTTAGCAACAAAGACAGGTTTTCACTCTTTTACACAATGACCTTCTAAATATCCAATTTAACATTGTAGGCAAAGTGAGAATTGATGTCAATTAATGGGTCTGAGTGCTGACTCTGTTAGGTGCTCACTTTGTGACTCTGGTCAGCTACTCATTTGACTCTGAATCTCAAGTTCTGCATCTATAAAATGGGGGAAATATTCTAACCATTTGGTAAATGCTTATTGGGTCCCTATTAGAAAGCAGACTGGTGTTACTACAGAGACTTCAATGCTGGAATTCTAGGCCGAGCCAGCTTCAATCAGAGAAATACTGTGGCCAAGCAATTTCTCCCACCCCTTACCTCACCTTATTTATGGCTCCTGACTCCAGTTATATTAGCTTGGGCATGACTGTCTGTTGCCTAACATTTATTCAACAGTTACTATGGGATGGGCATGAAATAAAGACAAAGTAAATTCACTCATTTGATTCTTATTAGACTCCTATTAGGTAGGGTACTATTACCCCTTCCCCCCTTTTACAGATCAGTAAACTGAGATATGAGATGAGATAAGCTACTCAAAGCCAAGTAGCTAGCAGATCAGGAATTTGAACCTGGATGGTCTGACTCCTGTAACCATGCTGCCTTCCTCTAAAGTGTTAGGGACATGATCATGAGCAAGCAAACGAGATTCTGCTCTCAGAGAACTCACTGTCCATTGGGGCAGTTATTGAACCCATGGTGATAATAACATATGGAGATGAATGCTCTGAAGGAAAGTAACAAGGTGCTATGGGACATCCAGCAGTGCCTGTCCCGAGGAAGGGACACTTAACCCCAAATCTGCAGGCTGAGAGAAGTTAATCAGCTGCTCAGGGCTGGGGTGAAGAGCACTGGAGGCAGTGAGACTGACATGTGCCAAGGCCTGGTGGCAGCACTGGAAATGAAATGGAGGACCTGAGAGAGGCAGTGAGGCGGAGATGCACAGATCGATGGGAAGAGTGGACAAGAAGAGGCTGGAAAAGTGGGCCAGGGTCACCTCAATTAGGTCCTTTGTGTCCGGTAAGTATTTTGGTCTTTGTCGTAAGAAGAATGGCAATCCATTAAAGAGTTTTAAGAAGGGGCCTTAACGCGATCAGATTCCTGTGTGGAACATAATGGTGCTCTTCCGGGCCACACATGGCCAATGAGGCAGTAACCGCGAGAAGTCTTTCAGGAGCTGTGCATGCTACAGCATCCGTGGTTTTAGTAAACATAGGTCTGGTCCCTTCTCCCCCTGTGTTTTCACTGTGTGAGCCCATTGAACGGTGTGGGACTATGTCCCCTCACGGGGAGACCTGAATATACCGAGAGTCAGGAGCCGCCGGGAAGGCCACTGGCGGGGCCAGCAATCAGCGTGGCCACCCCACTTCCCTTCCTGAAATTTGCATGGACGGGGCTCCCAGAGTCAGCCTGTGTCTCTGCTTACATGCAAATCATATCGGCCCTAGGCCGCCGGAAAGACTGCAGTGACTGGACGGAGCACTGTACTTGGGCATCAGAGCTCTGCAGAAGAGGTGCCCAGGACATCCAAATCCTGGCTGTGGGGGACACAGGATAAGCCTCAGAGCAGGGGATGCTGTCGAGACATGCCAGGAGGCATCGTGCAGAAGTGGATCTCAAGTGTGCTGTTTGCACCACGGATATTGACAGAGGAAAACTTAGGTTACAAGGGCCAATCCTGGTGCACCAAAGAGGGACAAATCTTGACCAAGGGACTGGACCACAGATACTCTGAAATACAGAATTAAGAATCTGGACACATCTTTGGTGGTTGGGGGGAGGTGGTATGGTAATTCATTCCAAACCTGTAGACTATCTATGTGTTAATTCAAAATAACCCTTCCTATGCGCACAAACATATGAAGACAGTAAGTGACTGGATCAGAGTCCTGAGGGCCGAGTTTACGGGAACTTCACCACATACCCAAGCATTTGGTGTGTCACTTGTGTGTGCCCGGGGCTTCCGTCAGCCTGTCATCCTGGCTACCTGACTCACAGACTAGGGGAAACAGTGGGGTACAGTGAGGGTCTCCACCAGACTCAGAGGCAGACAAAATGAGGCAGGCACCACGCCTGGGTGGGGGCTTGAAGCCTCCCCCTTCCCGCTGAACCCCACATTGTTCCGTTTGATGCACTTGCTCCCTCTTTCGTCCTCTGCAGACTCTGCTGGCCTCAGTGTCACTTACCTTGGGCTTTGACATCATCCACCACGGGGCAAGGCGTCTTCACAATCACATCACTGGGCCTGGAGCGCCGTCCGGTGTTATCCACGCCCCACAGGGTGAACCTGGCAGACAGGGGAGGAGATGGTTGTCAGAGAGCAGCTGAGGCCCTGGCTCACAGCCAGGCTGTGCTTGGGCAGCCCTGGCCCTGGCTGTTCTCACAACCTGACGGGAACTTGCCGCTACCGCCCACGTCATAAAGTGTGCAGCCTAGAGCCTCTCATGGCTTCCCGCTGGGTTCTGGGCTGTAACTGGGTGTCTCAGGTATATTGTTCAGTAGAAGGCATCAGGGCACGGAGCAGTGGGTCTCAAAGTGGGGCCCTCAGACCAGTAGCATCGGCATCACCTGGGTACTCGAAAGCAATAAAAATTTTGACACCTACTGAATCAGAGACGCCAAAGAGGTGCTCTAACAAGCCTTCCAGGTGAACCTAATGCCACTTCTACTCTGACAGCCACTGAACCAAGAGAAGAAGCATGTATCTGAGGAAATGGGTCAGGACTCGGGTCCAAAGCCCCACTCCCCACCGTGTGGAGTTACAGCTAACTCCTCTGAGCTCGGCTTTCTCTCATCGGTGAAACGGGCTAATGATAAATGAAATGAGATAATTCTGTCCAGAAAGACCCTAGCGCAATACCAGGAACCCGGTGACACCGCATAAATCACATGAATTCCGTTCTGTCCTGTCTCATGCTCAGCTGACATGTTGACACAGAGGGTTGAGGACAGTTTCTCCCTTTGAAGCCAGAACCGAAACAGCCAGCGTTGAGGAGTCCTGACTTGCCCATAGCTGGCCAGGGGCTTTGTTTCCCATGTGCAGCGAGTTCTACCCCGCCATGGACAGAAGTCCCAAGTGGGAATGCCGAGCCTCCCCTCCCAGTGAGAAGGTGTGGTTCTAAAAGGCCTCCCAGGAGGAGGTGGAAGACCTGGCTTTTGCACACAGAATTTCCCCTTGGGTGATGGAGCTGATGCAGGCAGAGAGAGGAACTCCAGGTTCTGCTATTTGGGAGAGGAATCTGAAAGTAACCGTGCTGGTAACCTCCACGGCTGTGCCCCGGGGACTCTGCTAATTGGGTGGGTCTATAGCAAATTGTTACCACTGCCTTTCCTGTCCCCATGTCTTTTGCTGCATTGCCATGGGAGGCTGCATTTATTGGCAGGTCTGGCTTTCCTTTCCTCTTGGCAGAGTTACCAGGAGGAAGACAGGTGTAAGGAAGACAGGTGCCCACAGACAAAGTGGCCCAGGTCCGGGCTGGCTGGGCCCCAGACGGTGGATCCAGTGAGGTAGAAAAGCAGTGGAAATTGGCCAGTGAGTCCTCCAGGAAATATGTTTCTCCCAGCAGAGAAAAGTGCATCCACCCCACAGAGAAGCCCAGAGAAGGTTCAGTGCAGGAAGCTGTATGCCTCCTCCTCCTTCCTTCCCCAGGCCTGACACTGGAATCATGGCCACCTCAGACAGGCAGGCCACATCCCGCCGGGAGCCCTGGTCTGCTGGGCCTGAGAATATGACAAGCTGCCTGGGGGCAGGGCCCAGACCCCACCTGTGGGCCCTGCAAGACTGCCTGGGCTCCCAGCTGCCAGTCAGGCTGGTGCCCGTGCTAGGCTTTCCCTCCTAGTTACACAAGGTGGCTCAGTCTATGCCACTGGCCTCTGCTGCTTGGTGCAGATCTACCATTTTGCCTGGCACTACACCTCATCCTGACCTCAGTCCCGATCCAGTGCCCTGGTGCCCTTCTTCCCCTCTTCCGAGATCTGAGCGGGCTCTCTGCGCCACACCAGCCCCACACAGCTTCCCAGGGGCTGCTTGGATCCTCCACGATGGCAGCTGTTGGGGTTCTTCATTATCTGGCCTCCCACACACATCTCAGTGTCGGCCTCCTGGGAAGAATGGTTTCTAGAACTGTGACTGAGGTCACCAGACCTGTGGCTGGGGCATCCCATCGGCCTGTCTGGAACCGGCTCTGTTTTGGCATCCTGCCCTACAACCTGGGTCTCAAGCCGGAACTCAACTCCCTCCTCTGCTCACCTGCTCCAGACTACCTTGAGCTAAGGTTCTCAGAGATGGGTCCGGGGGCAGCCAGGGCAGAGAGACCTGCGCCTGACATCTGAGAATCCCACACATGAGCCAAGTTCCCCCTCATCACCCATGTCCCCTCCATGCGGCAGGAGGGCTAGGGAGGAAGGGGGAGCATCCAAGGATGGCCACCAGCCTGTATGCTTTGCCGGGGCTGCTCTCTAGGGCCAGGCGAGCCCCTTTCCCTCACAGGAGACCCTGATGTGTAGGGAATCCTCTCCCGAGAGGTGGGCCAGTCGATCTTTGTTGCAGACCCTGCCCTGACGCCGCTGCCAGCAGGCCATTCTAACCAGTCGGAGATGGAAAGCCCTGTTCGTTCCTAGGCCAACGCATGCACACAGTGCTGCTAGCACTGGTCTGGTCCTGTGTCCCCGTTCCTGCCACTGGGTTCTCTGCTTTCACTGACCCCCTCACCCCCACCATGTGTCTGAGCCCACAGTCCTGCACCTCTGCCCTCGATTTAGTGGCTGAGACCCAGTCCACCGGATGCCCTGTGCTCATAAGGCGGCTCTGCCTTGTCTTTTCCTGTCCATGTTCCAGGGTCCTGAGCTTAGCCCTGGAGGTCGGGTCCAGGGCTAGAACCTGATATCACGCTGCCCACCTGTATGTTTAAGGTCACCTGCCCTAGACACTCTGTGGCTGGGTTCTAGCCACCTTTTGCAGCCCCCATTACTTAACCCTTCACTTTCTAGCAGAATCCCTGGACTGTGATGACAAATGTCCTAAGCCTCAGGCACCTTGGTGCCAGGCATGGTGTTATCCCTCCCCTACCCCAGCTAGTGCCACTCCACCCGGCAGCCTCGCCCTGGGGCTCCTTTGCTGGGAGCTCCCACTGACTCTATCAGATCCTGAGCAGCAAGAAAAATGCCTCTGCGTAGAGGAATTCTCACATTCCTCTGATGGGGCGATCAGGACAAAATTGATGGTCCTAAGCCCCTACTGTTTTTAATAGCAAAGCAAGGTATTAGGAAAGAAAATGCCTCCCATAACCCTCTAAGCATAATGATGATTATCCTAAGAGCCGTTCCTCAGCGGCCTGGGTCCCCAGGTCCCAGAGGGCCATGGACAGCATCCAGCTTGTTTTTACTCTCAAGGCCCAGGGAGCACTTTACATTCTCTCATGGGGAGATGGCGTGTGCCATCATTTCAGGAAGGCCTTCTCTGTCCACTGTCAGCATTATGGTTTCCACCGTTGAGCACTCACAGGACTGAGTGAAGGTTAGCTGGGATGACTGGCCAGGAGAGAGGAGCTTTCCTCCCAATCCAGAGGGCTAATGTGTAAGTACGTTAGCTGTCTCGTCCAAGGCTTCTGGTTCTTTCCACCACCACCTGGTTGGGACTGATCGACCAGTCCTTAGAGTCTGTGTGACAACACCTACATCGTGTGTGTGTGTGTGTGTGTGTGTGTGTGTGTGTGTGTGTGTGTGTGAGGGTGAACCCACACAGCCTAGCTCGGGCTCCGGAAACTTGGTGTGCACAGAGTGCCCTTGGGCCCCGTGTCCAGGACTGACCGCCTTGCCTCGTGTGCTGTTTTCACACTGTCCCTGTCCTGCTGTGGCAGTTCCGCTGATCCCTCTGAATCCACTCCTCTTTTCTGAACTATCTGTCCGCTCTCACAGGTCCCCAAAGGCAATAGTTCTCCTGTGAGCACAGGCTGTGATGGCGGGAGGAGCAGGCCAGAGGGGGAGACACCTCCTCACTCCAGCCTCCGTTTCCTCATCCATAAAATGAAGATGTTGAACCAGACACACCAGATCCCTTTTAAGCAAGGATTCTTTTTTTTTTTTTTAAGATTTATTTATTTATCGAGAGAGAGAGTGAGTACAGAGGAGGGGCAGAGAGAGAATCCCAAGCAGGCTCCACACTGTCAGTGCAGAGCCGGACTCACGGCTCGATCTCATGAACTGTGAGATCTCAACCAGGGATTCTTAAACATTTTTGTACTGTGGACCTAGAATCCTCAGGAGAATGTTTTTTAAATGCATTAAGTAAAACGCACAGGATGTCAAAATAAGCCAGCTAGGCTGGAATGCACGTCTCCTTCCATGGACCCCAGGAGAACAGCCAGCCCTCTGCTTTCATGTGAGGTAATGAGGTCATGTTACTAGCTCCTTCCAGCAGCCTAGAATGGCTGCAGAGTGAGAAGCAGTGAGTGAAGAAAATGCAAACCCCAATACAATTCTTAACCACGGTCACACCCCAGACAGCTCGCTTGCAGCTCTGCGGAAGTTACTCCATGTTGCTGAACCTCAGTTTTCCTCAACTATAAAATGGGAGCAAAACCCCAATCTCACAGGGCTCCCACACTCCATAAATGAAGGCTGGCCTCTCCATTTTAATGGGCAGAAAACTTAGCTGCAATCTTGCTTACAATTACTTAGTGCTTAGAAACAAAACCAGGCTAGGGGCCAAGGGTTTCCAGCAACTAATCGAGGGACTGAAGGTCTCCGTGTGCCAGGGACTGAAGGTCTAGCTTCTGATCCTCTGCGGAGAGGAACGCCTCTCCCAGGCCTTCCACCGCCCTCTTCGTGTGATCTGCAGCGCCACCTAGTGGAGCGCCGCCGAGCTGGCTGCTTCTTTCCTCGCCCTGGGCGCTGTCTCTGACTTCCCCACTAATCAACACTGACAGAAAGTTCGTGTTTTACAAGACAGCAATGCTTGGAAACTCACCAAAGATAGCAGAGTGGGAGAAGGTGCCAGTCTCCGGTCTTTGATCAGGAAAGATGGCCAAATCAGGCCAACATGAGGAGGGTCCCAAGATGGGTAAGGGCTGGCTCATAGAATTTCAAAACTCCTAATTAACGGTTGTGACTTAGTGACGGGAATTATTGAGCCTTTTTAGAAGTGAGAATTCCAGTTTCACTGAATTGGAGGCATCTGACAGCAGGTGAGGCAGTCCACCCTCCCTAATCTTTGCTCCTAAAGCAAAGAAGCTTTGCTCATAAAGGGTCACAGCTGCCCAATAGCAAAGAGAGCTGTTAAGAATCACAAGAAGTCTGTCTGTATTTTCTAGAATATCCCTGTCTTTCTGTATTTTACTAGTACGGCCCCTAATTGCATCTCTTTTTCCTACATTGAAGATATGCAGGGTGAGCACCTAAGTACATTTTGCAACCAATGCCACTCACATTTCTAGTGCTTTTCACCTTTGAATTCTGTAACTGTGGAAATGGAGATGATTTATTCTGGCTACTCTGCCTCTATTCTTGTGACCTCATCTGTAAACTGTAAAATGTTTTTCATACCGCTGGGGTCAAAAGGTCCCAGAATGACGTCACTAGGAATTCTGTCTCTCTCCCCTCTCCGCCAACTTTCCCATTGCGACTTACATTCCATCGATGTCTCCCTCTTTGGGTGTCTTTTATGTCTCTGCTTCACAAATATTTTACAATTGTTCTAGGAGCACAGGGTGAAATGAGGAAGAGTTCCCAGAGAGCACAGGGCTGTTCCTAGTGCCATGACATAGAAGTCCACTGTATTTGCTCTGAAGAAAAGGGACCATCTCTAACCTCTAGAAACTCAAAGTCACTACAGCTAGCTTTCTAAAGAAGCAGAGCTCTTGGGGCGCCTGGGTGGCTCAGTAGGTTGAGCTTCCGACTTTGGCTCAGATCATGATCTCAGAGTCCATGGGTTCGAGCCCTGCGTCAGGCTCTGTGTTGACAGCTCAGAGCCTGGAGCCAGCTTCGGATTCTGTGTCTCCCTCTCTCTGCCCCTCCCCCGCTTGCACTCTGGGTCTCTCTCTCTCTCAAAAATAAACATTAAAAAAAAGCAGAGTTCTTGGCATTCTACACCTTTCATCTAACAAAGTGAATAATCCCCCCTGACTCAGAGCATTCGCTCTATTTTTCTGGAATCATTTTTTGTCACTCCCTTTGACTCACCATCTGCTTCTGCCCTATGACACCACTTGCTACTCACCTTCATGCCTCTCTGCTTTTGCCCTTGCCAGCTCCTTAGCCTGCTATGCCTTTTCCAACATCACTCTACCTACAAAAGTCCTACCCATCCCAAGTCAGACGATGTCTACTCTAGTTAGAATTAACTACTCCTTCCTTTTTCCTTCTACCACCTGTTCCTGGTTCTTCCATCTCGCATTTCTTTCTTCCTATCTGATGTGAAAGTTACTTGTTTGTAGATTTCCTTTCTGTGTCGCAGAGTCTTTGAAGGATGGGGCTATATTGTCTTTCTTAATCCTCCCTTTCCAGTCCCTAGAAAGTTCTCCATAACGCCGACGGGGATAGGACTCGAGAAACTCAAACTATTTTTCAAGTTCTGAGGGAACTCAAGTAACAAAATGGAAGGAACTTAGAGCCTCAGGACGTTCAGGGTAAAGAATAGCTAGGCAGGTGTGTGTCACTCACATGTAGATGGTGTCAGGGTCCAGGCATCGAATGATCAGAGAGATGGTGGTGAGCTGCCTGTCTGGCACCTGAGAAGGCATGGCACAGGGGGCCTTGGCTCCGGAGACGATGTCATCCACAAAGCTCAGCACCGTTTCTGCTCAGGGGGAAGGAATGGAAAAGGCCATGAGCAACAGTGATGGCCACGCAATGAGGACATGGTGTCAGCTCAGTGAGAACGTAACAGTACCATCGCTTGGTCCCCAGTCTTCTTGAATTGCTAGCAGAGAAAAAAGACCCAGAAGGAATTGTCTTTTCTGTTGCATATTTAATCAATTTAGAGCCATTTGTCCAGAGTGAGCTCAGAAACAACTACGGATGCAAGATGTACATACCACATCTGTGAGCTCTTTTATGAAATGTTCTTGGCAAGGGCAGAGAACAGCTGCTGTGATCAGTGGTCACTGCCAGGCCCTTGCAGTACCTGTACATGGCCTTGGAGGAAGCAGGAGACAGCTCTCCAGGCCTGAAGGCAGTGCATGTGTCTCTTAGCCCCAACGATGCTTTCAGCAGAAGCCATTTACCCCGAGTCTGACTGTGGATGCCATCATCCTGCTGGCGACCACACTCGTGCATAAGTCTTAGGCATGATTTATGTTGACCTTTCCCTACGTGTAGGCAGCAAAATCCTACGGCATGGAACATTTTTCACGGGGTGTTTCCACGTCTTTAAGACTTCCCTCTTCTAGCGGGACCTGGCAAAGCAGAGTTTGCTTTAGGACAAGACATGGGGTAAGCACATCTGTTTGCACATGCTTTTGCCTGCAGGGGGGTTATTAGCAAAGGAATTTTTTTTTCCTGTAATCATGGCAGTGGTTAGCACAGAATTGTTTCCTAATTGTGGGCTAGGATAACTAGTGTACTGTATTGTTGTTTCTTTGTGAGTGTGCCTAGAGGCAGTGAAATGGACACCTCTTTAATAAACAAAAAGAAAAACAAAATCAAAACAAGACTCTGTCAGATAGCTCACCAGGCAAAAACTCTTACGTGGCCAAGATGGCCTTTCGAGCTTATCCACGCTCCTCCGGCACTGTCCTGGGGCCCTGGGGCCCTGGAGCAAAGACCAGGAAGCGGGATGTTTGTCTTCTCGCTTCTTTTTACCCACAGATAAACATGAGCCCATGAAGTCGGAGATGCTCACCTGTCTCCACTTTGGAGTGGTCCATCCTGTCAGTGACTTTTTCTTGACGAATAAGGTAATCTACAATCTGCACCCCGATCGGAGGCTCCGAGTGTTCCCACTCCAGGACCACAAGAGTGCTGCTGGGCTCGTGAACGGTGGAGAGTCTCAGCCTGAGGGTATACAGAAAGAGGGCCCCCTGTTGAGACCTTCCATTGTCTTCTGATACTGGCCACCTTCTCAACTGTTACACCCTGAAGTTTTCCTTCTAACCTCTCTTAACCAACCACTACGCTACGATGATCTCTCTGAGTGCCTGCCTCCATCACCAGAGAGCAATGGTTCTTGAAGGTCCCTGAGATCTACATTTTATTACTCCAAGTGCCTGTTATAGGTTAGGAACTCAACACATATTTGGAAGTGAGTGCATCAAAAATGAATGAACACCTGCATCTTATAGGGTCAATGGACAAGGCTTTTGGGGTGGCCCTTTATAGGACCTGGAAATATAATTTCTGGATTTGCTCTTGAAAACAGGATAATGTGCTTATAAAGCTCATATGAAGGCTCAGTGAAAGTGGGGTCTGGGAGAGCCCTGCATTAACAAGGCCATGGTCAGCTCAGTTTCCATAGTATTGCCAGGATCTGCCCTGTTGGGGGAACTCTGGCTTCTGTTCTTGCTATAGAGCTGCTGGCTGGGCTTTGCAACAGGCTGGATTTGGAGGGGCCTCTACTGGACAAGAGAGATTTGACTACATGTCAGTAAGTTCACTTCAGGGTGATGACCTGTGTCTAAAACTCTGATTTCAGTTTCTTTCTTTGCTCTTGGGTTTCTTTGAATATCCTGATTCCTAACTCCAGTCTTTCTTTGCTTTTCCCAATTCATAGCCTCCTCCTTCCATGCAAACTGTCCCTTTTGACCACTCTTTTGCCTTCCCATCTAATACCTCTTTGTACCTTGCAGAGACTCAAGAAACATTATTGACATTTGGTGGTATGGGCCTCCTAATGGTCCAAGTGGTTTCAATTTGCTGCCTTGTTCTGACTTTGTATGTGTGCCTCACGTTTCTCACTTGTTTCCCAATTTCCTGTTTCTTCCTAGACCATGGGCTTCTGGGGATCTTCCCAGTTCCTGTTCACTCCAGTTTCCCTCCTTCACATGCATCCCTGCCATTCACCCTTGGCCTGGGCTCCTGTATCTCACAACCTCCCACAATCATCGTCCTCTGGTCTCTCCACTCAGCTCACAGATGCCTGTCACTGGTCTCAGGGATCACTGTGCAAGGTGCTGTGGATGGAGCATACTAAAGCACAAGTCAATTTCAATTCAGCAGATATTGGTTAAGCACCTATTGTAACAACGTAGTTGGGGCTAAAGATGCAGGGGAGGGGTCAATAGAGAAACATACAACTATACATGTGATTATAATACTGTGTATAAGAACTTTAAGAAGAAATCATGGGAGGCTGTGGGAGCAAGAGCAAGGAATTCAACCAGTGGGAAAATAATGCAAAACACATGCTCTTTAGTGGCTTACTATGAAGGAGTGCATAGTTTGCATATGACATTAAGGATGGAGTAGACCCAAAACAGTGCGGATATTGACAAATTCATTAATTAGAGTCATATGCAGAGTGCTATTTTGAAGAAAAAGCATTAGGAAGCAGAAGTGAGTCGCTAAGCCTTTCTGAGAACTCAGATTCTGTGAAAATATGGACAGAAGCTGGGATCTACTGAAAAATAACAGCATGCATGATTTACACAGACTCGTGTAAAACCAAAGTGCGTTTCTATTCCCAGTTACCAATAAACATTCAAGAAATGAAGGTCTGCCATTAAAGAAGTGATTAAAGTTGACACGAGAAGTAAAGTCCTTAATAGAGGCTCCTGCTCATGGAAATTTAGCCCAATTGGATCTTCAGCGATGGCATACAGGAAACACAGTTTTAGAAAGGAAATCAGCCTTAAGAAACCAATGGTCGGCTCCTGTGTCCACCTGATGATAACTGTTTGGTGGCTTCAGTGTTGTGTCAAAGGTAGTTTTCTTGGTGAATCTTTCCAGAAGCACCGTGTGCTTCTAGTGGCTCTCTTTATACCAAAAGAAAAGACTTCTATTAATAATGAGCTTGATTCTCTTTTGACTCAAGAGGTCCAAGACATGGCTGTAAAGAGCAAGAAGCCAAGCGCTGGTGTATCTAAAACTACCCATAGAGAGAGGTCATGTAGACAACAGATGACATTGGTCTGTACTGACCGACACCATTGAGTCCTCCTCTCCTTGTGTTCTCTTCCTGATCATCGTGGCGCATCTTAAGTGCCCACCTGCATTCCCATGCAACAGGCCAGCGGTTGGTGATCACAAAACCAGCCTCTCACTTGCTGGTTTCCTCCTGCCGTCTCGCTCTTGCTGACTCAGCCCTCCTGTTCTGAGGGTCCCGATCCTCCCTTTGGGCTCACCAACCCATGGGGCCATGCGGCTCCAGCTGTTCCTGCCAGACTCTTATTAGACACTCACCGGTATGTCTGTGCTTCGCCCCTAGGGCAGATGCCACAGTAGAGGCTAAGGCAGTTCCTGCCTCAGGCCGTTTACAGGAATTCCACCTGGTCAGTCCAGCCTTACCCTGAGGGCAGGGAAATTGCACATGTTCCCCGGAACCACCTTAGCACCCCTTTGTGCTCTGTTCAAAGAGCAGAGTACCCCTTGATGCTCATCCCCAACCCTCTCCTATTCCCAGTTTATACATATTCTGGGCCAGCCTTTCTCATAGCGGGGTTGCATTTCTCATTTCTTAGGGGTTGATTTAAATCTTCTTATCTTTAGTGCCTATCTTTTCTTTTGTTTTTTAAGTGTTTATTTATTTTAAAAGAGACAGAGACAGAGCACTAGTGGGGCCAGGGCAGAGAGAGAGGAGACTTCAGGCTCTGGGCTGTCGGCACAGCACCTGACACAGCTTGAACCCACGAACCCATGGGATCCTGACCTGAACGCTTAACTGACTGAGCCACCCAGGCGCCCCCTAGTGTCTATGTTTTCTGCAGAGTTCCAGACCATTTTCCCCTCTGACGACTGAACATCTCTGTAGGGCTGCCCTGATACAACTCCAAGATGGGTCCATGCGGACAAGCCTCCTACTCAAACCTGCATATCCTCTGATGCTTCTTTTCTCAGCTATGGCCAACTCATCTTTTGAGTCACTGGAGCAGAAGTCTTAACATCCACTCTCAACTTCTCCCTCTTTTTCCCTCCCACACCAGCGAGTCACCCACCACTCCCTGCTGGTTCTCCCCAAAGTCATCTTTCCATTGTGTCCTCTCCACAATCTCATGGCAGAGATCCAGGCCTCTTGCAAGTGGTGGTTCTTCTGCCTGCTCAATGACCTTGGAAAAATTCAGTCCATCTGAATGCATTTCCTTATCTCCTAAATGAAAGTGATAACAGCACTGCCACTCAGGTGTCCTTGGCCTAGTTAGCCGCCAACTACATATCTCTCACTTCCTCCTTTGCAACATCTCTTCATCCTCTGATCTTCTGGACATGCTGTCCTACCCTCTCCACCTTCAGGGAGAGATTCAAGTGCCACCCACTTCCTGAAGCCTTTGCCATTCCCTGAATTCAGACTTGACCATTCCCTTTCACAACTAACTTAAAGGTCTCAAAGAGCACTTATCAGACCACGTCTCTTGCTGCTACCTGCCATGTGCCTGTCTCTCCAGGAAGACTGAAAGCCCGTGGAGGGCAGGTACCGCTTCATGGTGATCTTACCCAACACCCAGCCTACTGTCTTCACACAGTGGACACTTTGAAATCTATGTTTGCAGAACCGTGCTGAGGCATGCATGCAACAGAGAGGCAGAGAAGGGGTCATACACAGGCTGAGGGAGAGGTGCACAGGTGGGGAGTCCATCAGCTCCAAAAGCGGTGGAGTCGCATCGGCACCAGTCCTCGATGACGTCTCCAGTCCCTGAGCACCACAGAGAGCTCATGGTGGCCTCCTGCAAGAGCTGCAAAAGAGGGCAGGGGAAAGAGTGAGCGATCGGGAGCCAGGGCTGGGTCACCACAGGATCGAGGCTCTGCTTGGTTCTTTTTTTCTTTTTTTAATTTTTAAAAATATGTTTATTTATTTCTGAAAGAGACAGAGAGTCTGAATCAGGCTCCAAGCTGTCAGTGCAGAGCCAGATGCGGCACTTGAACCCATGAGCTGGGAGAGCATGATCTGAGCCGAAGTCAGATGCTTAACCGACTGAGCCACACAGGCACCCCAGGGCTCTCTGCTTGGTTCTAAATAACATGTTTTGATCTAAAATTCCTAATTCCAGGAGACTGTTTCTGGAAGCTAGACCTCATAGGACCTGTAGGGTGCCTCCCTGTCATTAGCATGACAGGTCCTCCCTGTGGTAGAGGACTGTCACTCTGGAAGCAAGTCTTACTTCTCCTTCCTACTCCGTCCGGCATTCCACATCCAGGGCCCTAGCAACAGTAACCCCTTTCCTGTATACTGCCCTTGCCTCCCTTCCCTCTGCCCAGAGGCACTTGGCCCTTTCTCAGGTGCCTCTCCGTGCATCCTTATATACCTTCCACCCTGCCCGGCATGGCCTCTGCATTCCTTCAGCATGTCTTGTACCCCACCGACAATATTTACACAGTTCTGCCTTGGGTTATGATTGCGTGTGAGGCCTCTCTCTCCTGGGAGGAGGCACAAAGTGAGGCCACACGCTAAGAACCGGGCTCCAGGGCAGTCTGCTCTGGGTGAGGACTTCAGCTCTGCCAATCACTGCCATGTGACTTTGGGCAAACTGCATGAACTGTTGCCTCACTGGAAAAATGGGAGAGAAACAGCCCTCTCCTCACGGGGTTGTCATGATGATTACATGAAATAATACGCCAAAGGGCACAGCCTAGTACCTGTGGTATGCATGCATTAGTTGCATACAAATAGTACACAGCAGTCATCAATAAATGTCAGCAATTATTATTGTGCCTGAATGACAGAGTTGGGTCTTCTGAGGAAGCTTATAAATGCCACAGAGCCTAGAACAATTCTTTTTTTTTTTTTTTAATATTTTTATTTCTAGGAGAGAGAGACAGCGTGAGCAGGGGAGGGTCAGAGAGGGGGGGGTCACAGACTGAAACAGGCTCCAGGCTCTGAGCTGGCAGTCAGCACACAGCCCGATGCGGGGCTCGAGAACAATTGTTTATATACAGTGATTTCACAGCGGATGTTCACTATTAAATGAAAGGACAAAAAGATAAAATTAGATGAGTCAGGGAGAAAAACTTGGGACAGGACAATTCTCTGATAAGGAAGCAGATCCTGGTGGGCATGGACCCCTCATGGGGCGCTGCTGCCTCAACCCCAGCCCAGGGATGGGCAAAGGGTGAGGCTGGCCCCAGGGCGCATGGGTATTGGAGCTGGCCAAGGTCAGCTTTCTCTCTGGGTCAGCTTATCATCTTTTCTTATGAGTCTCTTCTCTCTGACCCACTCTTACCAAACTCACATGGAAAATTTTGGGCCAAGAAATTGAAAGAAAGAAAGAGGCAGGGGTGGGGGGGGGAGGAAAGAAAGAAGGAAGGACAAGAAAAAGGAAGAGAATAAGAAGACAAAAAAAGAGAGCTAACCCTACAGAAATCAAAATGTCAAGCAGAAAGCCAGCATCTTAAATTACATTCCTTCAGAACTTTACATGGGCCATCTTAATTCATCAAAATAAGGGTCAATACTGACCTTCCTCATCCCAATTCCTCAGGCTGGAAGCTTCTAGAGAGCAGGGGCCCATTCTTGATTGTCCCTATAATATGTGTGTAGTTTTAGAATTTCAAGGCCCTTTTAGGGCTAACACTTTAGTCTGAGATCCTTGGAAAATGGTTATGATAGACAGTGGAGGACACTTAGAGTCAGAGAGGTTAGGTGAGTTGCTCGGGCTCACAGGCTAGTGACTGGGAGCAGTGACGGAACCTGAGCTCAAGAGGACACATTCTACATCTCGGGCTCTTTCTGGCAAAGCTCTTCTCATCAGTGCTGGACCTGCCAGTTCTCAGCATGATGCCTGGAGCCCGCTAGGTGCTCACGTTATGCTCTGCCTGCCTGAACCAAATTTGAATCAAAAGTATACTTTTCTAAACTAGGACAGAGGGCTTTCTTTGAGATTGGTAGAATGGAGAGGAAATTGTGGCTGCCCGGTTACCACATTCATCAGCAATTACTAGCTAAGCACCTGTGGGGGTGAGTTTCCTGTGCTTGGCATTGAGGATACAGTGATGCATGAGACAGATATGGCCTCTGCTCACATAAATCTTGCAGCAAAATAATAAACAAATGAACGAAGTTACATAAGTTGACCAAATAACTACAACTGGGTGGTGGGGGCTCCAAAGGAAAAGGGTGAAATGTGGCAGGAGGTACAAGGGGTGGGGGCAATGTCACAGAAGGGTTTGGGAGAGCCCCATGAGGATGTGTGTTTTTATCTGAACTTGGAAGGACAGATCAAGAGTCTGGTTACAAAAGATGGGGAAGTGTTCCAAGTGGGAAAACCAATATTAAGAAGACTTCAGCCCAGATGAAACTTGACCTCTAAAATAAACTGAGGACAGGTTGCTCTGGCTCTAAGAGATGGAGTGAAGGGCAAAGAGGCACTCAGCAAATGGGAAAATGGGAAGGGGTGGGGCCGGTTACAAAAGTTGTGTGGGCCTTGGTGAGGGTCAGTATCACATTCTAAGGGCAGCTGCAAGCCATTAAAGTGCTTTTTAAAAAATGTTTATTTATTTATTTTTGAGAGAGAAAGAGTGAGGGAGGGGCAGAGAGAGAGGGAGAGACAGAGAATCCCAAGCAGGCTCCATGCTGTCAGCACAGAGACAGACTTGGGGCTCAATCTCATGAACTGTGAGATCATGACCTGAGCCAAGGTCAAGAGTCAATTAACCGACTAAGCCACCGAGGCGCCCCCCTGCTTTTTAAAAAGTTTATTTATTTTGATGGGGAAAGAGAGATACAGAGAGGCAGAGAGAGAGAGAGAGAGACAGAGAGAGAATCCCAAGCAGGCTCCACACTGACAGTGCAGCTCTTGATGTAGGGCTTGAACTCTAGGGCACCCCATTAAAGTGGTTTAAATAGGGGAACAACATGATCAGATTTCCAACACAAAGGAGTAAGGACCATCGCGTATGATGACAAACATTTCTTCAAAAGCCTTAACTTTTGCTTTTGACTCACACAAGTCCACGAGTTCTGACTCCCTAAATCCTGGGCCATAGCTAGCTGTAGAAGGTAGGAAAGGGTTGACGAGAGGAATCAAGAAGAAGGACTTTTGGAAAGAAAGGGGAAAAATTACACTTTTCTTAATATCTACTATGTGTCAGGCATTGCCTGGGAAGTCCTCATTTGTTATTAGATTTAATTCTGATTCCAGAAAAGAAATGGGATTTCCCCATTTTTGTTATTATTTTCTTCTAAGAAAAGCAACTGAACTTTCAAGCCACGTTCACCTAGCCCTTCATTCTTCCATTTATTTTATTTCATTTATTGATTTAGCAAAGTGCTGACTATGTGTCCACTGCTACTAGGCACTGGGATTCCATAGAAGAATGAGTGTTTCTCAGAGTCCATAGGAGAATGAACCATGTGAACACTTATGATAGCAGGTGACACATGCTTCAGAAGATGTCTGGATACAGACAATGGGAGCTACTTGAAGGCACATGGGGTGACCTAGGAGAACAAGGGAAGGCTTGTCACAGCTGGTGATACTTGAGCTGAAACCTGGAAATACTGTAACAGCAGGAGTTTGCCAGTGGCAGAAACGTAGGACAGGCCAGTCCTGGGAGAGAGAGTGACAAGTCTGAAGGGCCAGATGCACAACAGAAGAAATTATGTGTTTAAGGAGGTACAAAGAGTTATAATTTGGAGGAGAGAACATAAAGTATAGAGTGGGTACATCCTAACCGTGTAAGTGAAGACACCGTTGGGACAATGAACGACCCTTATAGTGACACACTAAGGACTTTAGGTTGTATTTAACAGATTCTGCAGAGCTCCTGAATTACCTGGCTGCAGGAGGGCCAGAGGTCCACATCGGACAGAAAACTCTGACTGGTCTCCCAGGAAAACCAGTAAGAGGCTACTATAACAAGAAGACGGTGGCCTGATGTTACGGTGGATGGCTGAAATAGTTAGGCTGTGACGGAGGTACAGTACCGGGAGGATGGATTCAAGACATCTGTGGTCCCTGGTGACACACAGATGTCAGGGAGTGAAAAGAAAAGGAAGCAAACTTGGTATCCATTTTGGGCAATTTGGTGGAAAAGAATCTCATTCACTGAGATGGAAGCACAATGTTTGTGGCTGTGTGGGGTGGAAGATGGTGAGTTTGAGTCTGGGATACCTGGTGGGTTATATGGCTTCACCTACTGGTTTCTGGGCTTTCTTTCTTTCTTTCTTTCTTTCTTTCTTTCTTTCTTTCTTTCTTTCTTTCTTTCTTTCTTAATGTTTATTTATTTTTGAGAGAGAGCGAGAGACAGAGTGTGAGTGGGGGAGGGACAGAGAAAGAGGGAGACACAGAATCCAAAGCAGGCTCCAGGTTCTGAGCCTGATGTGGGGCTCAAACTCAAACCAGGAGATCATGACCTGAGCTGAAGTTGGATGCTTAACCAGCTGAGCCACCCAGGCACCCCTCTGAGATGTTTCTAATTACTAGGCTGAACTATGGCATCATAGATTATCTGATCCAAGAGGAGGAGGCCAAGAAGAACCAGAAAGGTTAGAAAATTGGTTCCAGATACGCCAGAGAGGTAGGGATAAGAACACACACCAGGCTACTGCTGTCGTGACTTAGCACCCCCACCCCTCCTTTGCTTCTGCACTCCACATCTTCATTCTTTGAGAGAAAGAGAAAATTAGAAGCAAAAAGCAGAGGAGTAGAGAGAATGAGCAGAGAAGACAGAGTGCGTCTGAAGAATAGGAGAGAGGAAATATGTGATGGTGACTGGACCAGCTTGGGCCACCCTGTCTATGTGTTTAGAAATTAAAATATTCAACTACAGCCAGATGCATAGTGTCTCCGAACCCCTCTCTTAAAACCAGTGCAGGGAGACAAGGAGGGGCCAGGATGTGGCAAGTACGAGATCCAGAGAGGGGGAGGCTGAAGAAGATTCCTCCAGCTCCCCCAGCATGATCACAGTGCCCCTGCAGGAAGCCAGGGCCTCCGTCCTCCTCTCCCACCAAACTTGCCCCACAACACGGGAGCACAGGGAGCACACTCCCTGCCTCTTCCGTTCCCAGGCAAGTGCACAGGGGCTCCTGGGGCACCAGCAGCCTTGGGTGCTCGCAGAAGACAAAGTGGGTCAGGTAAGGGTGCTGGATTAAAGCCACCACTGTGGGTCCCCACAGTGACACCACCCCGTCCTCATCATCCTTGTGAGCCCCCCTCCTCCAGTCACTTCTACTAGATTGAAGAGGAATTTATAGGCCAAAGGAACCATTTATCCTTTTGTTCCCATGAGAAAGCTCATTTCCAAACACTCAGTGAAATGTCTGTGGCAGAGGTGGAAAGGTGAGAGAAGCCCACGCGTGCAAAATCTGTCCTTGTGGGTCTGAGCATCACCTATGAAACAACGAAACACACCAAGTGTCCCTTAAATGAGGAAAGAGAAAGCAATTACAGCCCCACCAAAATGGACACACGTCTCAGGCAGGTAAACAGCTCTCTGCTCTGACTCTACTATCTTGTCCCCAAGGCCATCTTTGCCTGTAGTCTCAAAAGTCCCGCACCCTGAACTTTTGTGTTTTTATTCTCCTCATCATCATCACCGTTGCTGTTGTGCGTTTGACCCACTCTGTTCTAGCTGTCCTTGAGGAGATCAGAGAGCTAGGAGATGAGCTAAGCCACATTTCTCCAGCTCATCCCTTTGGGTCCATTCATTTTCTCATAACACCTCTGGAAAGGGAGCCGCAGTGGGAAAGGGGAGCTGCTGAGAAATGTCATGACCTAGCAGCATTATTTGAGGTGGAAGATTTGCATGGATACGGTGTTTTATAGTCTTTGTTCTGAAAGTCAGAGTGATGGGCAGAAAACCATCCCCTCCAGGCCAAGGCCAGACCCTTCTCTTTGGACACTGGGCCTTATGCACTCCTCCTAACCTCACAGCTGGTCCAGGCTTGGGATCTGTTAGGGGAGCTGAGCCTCCTCCCACAACTGTCCCCTGAGGCTTTCTGAACAATGACTTTAGTGACTACAAACGCCATGCCTCCCTATCCACCTTCTTCCTTTCAGCCCTTGTTGTCCAAGGACCTACACTAACGCTGAGTTGTGACTCCTGAGTCATTACCATGGGTGTTGTGGATGCACTAATTTGATTTCATATGCAAACATGCAAATCTAAGCAAATGATGTGCCTGGATTAGCTCAACAAAAAGTCTCACTGTCTATACTGTAGCACAGAGCTCAACTACACCCCGTCACTTCCCCAATCTACCTGGAAAGCCCTCTGTTTTTGCTGATGCCTCTCTGAGTCAAGAGTCCCAGGCCTCTTACCTTCTGGGTCTGGTTGTTGGTCACCAGTTCATAGATGGGGGCTGCTCTGGTCACCTACAGCAGAACTGGCTCAGCAGGAGTGTCAGGGCTGGATGTCACATGACAAAGGGGGCAGGATGAGGGGCACCGTCCCTTGCTCTGGCACTCCATGCGGACCCCAGCTGCCATGCGCTTGGTGCCAGACTCTGACAGGCTGGCGATGTATTCTGGGAATGTCAGCACCTTAGGGTCTCTTTCCCGTTCCTCTGACTCGTCGGATGGAGAGTTGCCTGCCGGACACAAAACAAAAAGGAGTAGTGAGCAAGGATAATGGAAGAAAAGGTCTTGCATCATCTTGTGGCTCCTGAGTGCCGAAGTCAAATCGTAGAGTGGTCACCAAATGTCACTGACGGGTTACAGATGTGAGTCTGCTGTCCCATTCAATGTGGGGAACCCATGCTCCCAGTGACCTACAGAGTTAGAAACAGCCATCAAATGTGAGATCAGGTTGTTTCCTTTTGGAGAATCATCAGCTCCCCTGATCCCTCAGAGGGAGGCATCTGCAATGCCTATGCAGGATCTATGACTATAGTAGTACAAGTAGTAGCAACAGTGATTATTCAAGGACTCAGATCCCTCACCTGTTAAACGAAGATATTCCTAGTACCTACCACTAGTGTTGTGTGATGGCAACATGTTTTTAAACACATACCCAGTGGCTAGTGCATGTCCAATCACCATCATAATACTCTTAATTTTAACCATAGGTAAGATTTACCTAAACTATGAAGTGCGAGCTAGTCCAGGCCTCTTTCAACCCTTATGAGAATTCTCTGCATGGACTCCCATCATTGCATACATTTTATGCATGAGGAAAATGAGACCAAGAGCCTTAAGATCACACAAGGTAGTTTATGGTAGGACCTGGGATTTGAATCCAGTTTTGCCAGATTCCAAAGCCTTTAAGTCACTGGGGGAGGAAGAGGACTTCTCTACTTCATTACTCATCAATGTATTGAAGAATCAGAGGTGGTTTTGGCTTTTTCAAAAAGATGTGCACTCCAACGCATTCCAAAGAGACAGGTTCATATTGCCCTTGATTGATGAGTGAAAGGTAGTTAGAAAAATTCTTGGCTTACTTTTGGTGTCAAAGATGAGAAATGCCTACCGGAACATAATACTTTGTTCCCTATGGAAGAAAGCACTGCTTGATATTTTCCCTCCAAGCCTTCATGATTTCCCATTTAACTTCTTCATTCCAGAGGAAGATGGATGTAGAGTCCACTAACCAAGTCTGCTTTTGCCTTTGGTTCCTTACAAGACCCCTGATTTTTTGTGACACCACTACAGTTCCGAACATGAAACAATTTCATGGAGACCACTGGGCTTTTAGAAAGAAGGGGCAGATCCAAACCAGACAGAGACCCAGCAAAAAAAAAGAGAACTACAGGCCACTATCCCTGATGATTATGGATGCAAAAATTCTCAACAAGATACTAGTAAATCGAGTTCAACAGCATATAAAAAGAATTATTCAGCATGATCAAGTGGAATTCATTCCTGGGTTGCAGGGCTGGTTCAATATTCACAAATCAATGTGATACATCACATTAACAAAAGAAAAGATAAGAACCATATGATGCTGTCAATAGATGCAGAAAAAGCATGTGATAAAATATAGCATCCTTTCTTAAACCCTCGAGAAAGTTGGGATAGAAGGAACTTACTTAAACATCATAAAATCCATTTACGAAATGCCCACAGCTAATATCCTCAATGGGGAAAAACTGAGAGCTTTCCCCTGAGATCAGGAATGCGACAGGGATGTCCACTCTCACTACTATTGTTTAATATAGTGTTGGAAGTCCTAGCATCAGCAATCATACAACAAAATAAAAGGCATCAGAATTTGTAAAGATGAAGCCAAACTTTTACTTTTCGCAGACAACATGATACTTTACATGGAAAACCCAACAGACTGGACTAAAAGTCTGTTAGAACTGATACATGAATTCAGCAAGGTTGCAGGGTACAAAACTCAATGTACAGAAATTGGTTGCTGGGGCACCTGGGTGGCTCAGTTAGTTAAGCGTCCGACTTCAGCTCAGGTCGTGATCTCACGGTTCGTGGGTTCAAGCCCCGCGTCAGGCTCTGTGCTGACAGCTAGCTCAGAGCTTGGAGCCTGTCTTCAGATTCTGTATCTCCCTCTCTCTCTGACCCTCCCCTGCGCATGCTGTCCCTCTCTCTATCAAAAATAAATAAAACATTAAAATAAAAAAGAAATCGGTTGCATTTTTATACACCAATTATGAAACAACAGAAAGAGAAATAGAGAAACTGATCCCGTTCACAATTGCACCAAAAACCATAAAATACCTAGAAATAAGCCTAATCAAAGATATAACGGATCTGTATGCTGAAAACTACAGAAAACTTATGAAGGAAATTTAAGAAGACACCAAAAAATGGAAAAACATTCCATGCTCATGGATTGGAAGAATAAATATTGTTCAAATGCCAATACTACCCAAAGCAATCTACACATTCAGTGCAATCCCAATAAAAATTCCACCGGTATTCTTCTCAAAGCTAGAACAAACAATCCTAAAATTTGTATGAAACCACAAAAGACTCCGAAGTGCCAAAGTAATATTGAAGAAGAAAACCAAAACGGGAGGCATCACAATCCCAGGCTTTAGCCTATACTACAAAGCTATAATCATCAAGACAGTATGGTATTGGCACAAAAACAGACACATAGACCAATGGGATAAAATAGAGAACCCAGAATTGGACCTACAAATGTATGGCCAACTCATCTTTGACAAAGCAGGAAAAAGTATCCAATGGAAAAATGATAGCCTCTTTAACAAATGGTGCTGGGAGAACTGGACAGCAATATGCAGAAGAATGAAACCAGACCACTTTCTCACACCATACACAAAAATAAACTCAAAATGGATGAAGGATGTGAATGTGGGACAGGAAACCACCAATACCCTAGAGGAGAAAGCAGAAGACAACCTCTTTGACCTTACCCACAGCAATTTCTTACTCAACACATCTCCAAAGGCAAGGGAATCAAAAACAAAAAAGAACTATTGGGTCCTCATCAAGATAAAAAGCTTCTGCATGGCAAAGGAAACAATCAACAAAACTAAAAAGCAACTGAAGGAATGGGAAAAGATAGTAGCAAATGACATATCAGATAAAGAACTAGTATCCAAACTCTATAAGGGACTTACCAAACTCCACACCTGAAAAACAAATAATGCAGTGAAGAAATAGAAAGATGACATGAAAAGACACTTTTCTAAAGAAGACATCCAGATGGCCAACAGACACATGAAACGATGCTCAGCATCCCTCCTCATCAGGGAAATACAAATCAAAACCACACTGAGATACCACCTCACACCAGTCAGAGTGGCTAAAATGAGCAAATCAGAGAACTCTAGATGCTGGCGAGGATGTGGAGAAACGGGCACCCTCCTACACTGTTGGTGGGAATGTAAGCTGGTACAGCCCCTCTGGAAAACAGTGTGGAGGTTCCTCAAAAAATTAACAATAGAAACCCAGCAATAGCACTGCTAGGAATTTACCCAAGGGATACAGGAGTGCTGATGCATAGGGGCACATGTACCCCAATGTTCATAGCAGCACTCTCAACAATAGCCAAATCATGGAAAGAGTCTAAATGTCCATTAACTGATGAATGGATCAAGAAGATGTGGTTTATATATATAGTGGAATACTACTTGGCAATGAGAAAGAATGAAATCTGGCCCTTTGCAGCAACGTGGAAGGAACTGGAGGGTATTATGCTAAGTGAAATAAGTCAGTCAGAGAAAGACAGATACCATATGTTTTCACTCATGTGGATCTTGAGAAACTTAACAGAAGACCATGGGGAGGGGAAGGGGGGAAAAGTTGCAGAGAGGGAGAGAGGCAAACCATAAGAGACTCTCAAATAATGAGAACAAACTGAGGTTGATGGGGGGTGAGAGAGAGGGGAAAATGGATGATGGGTATTGAGGAGGACACTTGTTGGGATGAGCACCGGGTGTTGTATGGAAACCAATTTGACAATAAATTATGTGTGTGTGTGTGTGTGTGTGTGTGTGTGTGTGTGTGTGTGTGAAGAAAACAAGGGGCAGATCTAGAACATGCATTCTGGTTGTCTTGGACTGATCAGGAATGCAGTACTTGACAAGTCAGATCTCTGGAGGAAATGGTTGGAATTGTTTGCAAAGAGGTTCCAGAAGGTGACTGTGATACAACTCATTGACTTGATAACAAGGTTCTCTCTTGTGGGGTCCAGCGAGCTCTCTGCTCACCTCCCTCTTGTCTGTTATGTAATATGAGCACGTTTGGAAACGTCACGAGACATTTTGGCACTGTTGTCTCCCAGATGAACATCCTCATTATGTGGATGAGGCATCTTTACCTGGAGGCCCCACTGACACGGGTTTCCTCCCGCTCACTAACACAAAGGACTCACTCAGTGACTGCAAACATGGGACACAATTCATTTCACATTTGCTCTTTGTTTAATCACAAACCCAGAGTGGACCTGAAGCTTTTCCTAGTTTATAAGAACTGCGTAACTATACACACCAAAACCAAGAATGATGCTATCAAATAGGGAGGCCCAGGAGTCCACATCAGCTAGCCCCACAGTCACTTGAGCCACATGTAAATACTGATTGACATTCAGGCTTATGCAACTCAGTCAATCCCAGGGCTCGGAGTATTTGTAAAGTGACCACAATCTGGCAGGACTCTCCTCACCTGAGCCCCTGGACAGGCCTCAGTCTTCTTCAACAGGCTATACAGACTGGGCAGGGATAAGTGAGGGGAATGAGGTCTTGGATTCTTGATATGATTTCTAGAAAAGGCGGCTTTCATGCATGGGAAAGTGAGTGAAATTTTTTAAAAAATCAGTAAAGACACAGTGCATCTTTTCAAGACAAAGGTTAAAAACTTTTACTGCATAAACCTTGCCAGAGAGTTTGAGGGTCTCCTCGAGAGCCCTCATGACCCATAGAGTCAGATTCGCTTCAGCAGCCCACAGCCCTCCTTGTGGAGAAAGTATTCAACAGAGGCTGGGAAAAGAGGTCCCACGAAATGACCACTAGATGGCAATAGCAAGTCTACCATGACTTCTGTGAGAGGAAATATCTTGCAATGAATTCTGTGTGGCCACTTTGGCACCACAGAAAATAAACTGAACAGAAAAGTAACACCTGGCAACTTAAAAATGTTTGCGATGGTATCATTTTTTTCAATG